GAACTGGGTAGCAAAAAAGCCTGAAAATGTAACTTTTTAGATGATCAGTAATTCATTAAGGCATTCGATCGAATCAGTTTAAGCTAAGTCAGCTTGATATACTAGGTTGGGCAGTACTACGGTGCAGTGGATCAATGACACATGGTCTTCAAGCTCAGATATGCACGTTCCACGTGCCGGGTATATTGCTAGCATGTAAACGCATATACAAACGTTCACATGTCTGGGCAGCATAGCGCAAAATTGCTTGATATCTAGGTTTGGAACATGCCCATCGCTAAAAAGTTATTCGGACAGGACAGCTGCAAAGAAGCGCACATCTGGAGGAACTCACTGTTCTTGTTTCAGCTCACTATCCTTGGACTGCACCTCGACAGTAGCCACATCGTCCAGTGAATCATTTTGCGGTCATCCTCGACGAGCGTCTCATTTGGGTCGTTCACGTTCAGTTGTGGAGACACCGACCATATTGCAATGGAACTCTTTGTCTAACGGCTATTTTTATTCCAATGGAAGGATGGGTTAGATGTCCTCCTCGAATACCACTTCAACCTTTTCGGTTTAAGCACCGATGAGCAAGCATGCCAAAAATACCACCGAAGTGTTTGTATCCAGTTCTGCATTCGGCATTGTTCGAGGGAGGTTGATAAAGAAACGACGATTGAGCTACGTTTGGCGGAATCGAGACGGAGCGAGATCTACCTCCATTTTAGTGGACATACGCAGCCTTGTCTCAATTGCCTAATTTCGATTTCCATGAAGTGTTCTAGATCAACTTAAAATACCGGTGTACGCTTACACCTGCGCTGGAATCTGTCACCCAGTTTCACGTGAATACCCATGCTTAAGAGCCCACATTCGTCATTTTTCGTTTATCGGCCTTATTTAACACACTCTCGTGCTGAGTTTAAGATGGGAAGATATCTTGTTTATTTTTTTATGGCAATCTATGGGCTCTATGTTTCAGTGTTTAGTATTGCCTAACCAGTTGAATTAGAGCATCAACTAAAATTGAGGGGACCACTTGCATTTGTCGCACTGAAGCATTAGTGTACTGCGTGTACGTGAGCATAGCAGACCTATCGATTTGTGCTGCTCAAAGTTCAAAACCGTTGATTGATTGGCTGGCACCCGAACTTAAACAATGGTCCACTACCCTGGAAGGAATGGTCAGTATTAAAGCTGCCACTGGAAGCTTAACAAATATTTGTGATGCGTCATACAAATGGTTTCTTTTCAGGATATGGACGTGTTTTTATATTTGTGAAATACACTCATTTGCAAAAAAGAAGAATTTCCAGCAACCTTATAAGCAGTGCATTGCTTGCTGCTGAATTTTTGAAGGGAGATAGAACAGATGCGTTTTTCGGTTTCAGAATTACATCGTTCCTTTGTTTAGAATCCGCTCAATTTGGAGTAAGATTTCATTCTGTATTGAAAGCTCGGGGAGCTGTTTAATGTCATATTTGTATTCTTCATGAATGAAATTACTACAAATACTCTCATTCCAGTCTAATTTTGATGAGCATCAGCGGGATTCCCACAAATTACCTACTGAAAATGCTTCTGTATTGTATGAACTGCCTGACGGCTTTACAGATGGATGCATTTCATGCGAAAGCATGTTATATATCCCAGTAACTCGTTGGTATTTTTTCGCGAAGTCTATGCTAAGCTAGTCGGTAGAGTGATAAAAGTTCCGAAAAGCAAGTGCATGGTATGTAAGAGTCTTCACGACAGTAAGTCAACACTAGAATGCTCCAAAGTTGTGTATGCTAGACTTCATTCTTGACTTGTTGAAACTTGAGGTTTGTGTAGGGATTGAATGGGAAGATTACTAAATCGCATACTGAAATGCTTACATTTCAATGTTAGGTCAGCGAACGTGAACTCGTCCACTAATCGAAAGCCTGTTGAGTGTTACGAGGTGCGTACTACGCCCTCATATTTGTCAAGTATGAGATTTTCTATAGAGCAGAATGTCGGTAGCTCAGGTAGCGTAGATGGTCGTGCACAACCACTAACCCACCGCTACGCACAACTACGCACTGATGATGTCACCTCGATTGGTGATGAAACGTTTGCAACCAAATTGCCCAGCTCAGCGAACAAGCCAACGACCAAGTATGAGGTTGTTGAAAAAATGAGAAGCGCTGTCTGCACACATATTTGTTATTGTTAAACATATCCGGTAATTTGGTTTCACGTAAACCACATGTCAGTGCACAATTAGTTGGCTGGTTTGCCTAGCACGACTCACAACGGGGGGAGGTGGTCCTGTAACCTAGAACTCTAGCCTGGGACAATGCAATGGCTCTCCGACTTTTATAGCATCAACTATTACCAAATGTACCACTTGCGAGCATTGGAAAAAACATCAGTCCTAATTTGCGTTAATGCTTGTTTAGATCCTTTACACTCCGAAGACCAGTGGTAAGCGCGAACCTACTAATGTACCACTTGCGAGCATTGGAAAAAACCTCAGTCCTAATTCGCGTTAATGCTTGTTTAGATCCTCTACACTCCGAAGACCGGTGGTTAGCGCGAACCTACCTTCTGTATTTCCATAAAAAAATCGTTCTTTTTCAATATTTGTTCTAATGATAAGTATATTTAAGATAGTCCAAGAGGAATTTAAAAGACGTTTACCAGATCCGAAATAATTCCCAGTGGTAGTGAATAATTTGACCGGAACTAAATATCGGGAAAAGCTGTTGCTCCTTAACTACTGACAACATGGGCTCACAGATCAGTTAGCAAACTAGAACATCACAATACTTTGGCGAAACGCACTCATTTGCAAACAAATTTGTTTTGGGAGAGATCAGTTAGCAAACTAGAACATCACAATACTTTGGCGAAACGCACTCATTTGCAAACAAATTTGGTTTTGGGAGAGACTCACCTAAAACCCAGCTGAATCTCTCGTTTGTGATGTACCCAGGTAACTGAGAATGCTGCACAAGGCCACCTCATACTTCATTTGCCATGATATTCGAGATATCGCGGTGCGTGTATGTTCCTACTGCACTACGTGTCTCAATAGCTTTTGTTGTCCAGTTAATTCGATTATTCCATATTTATCGATCCATTATAGAAGGGAACTTTTGAATTGTGAATAGACAACGCTCACAGCGTTTGCTGGAGCATTCGGCCTTTAGAACCGGAATTATTGATGTAAACATCAGTAAACACCGGTAACAATAATTCCACAGGGTACGCCCTACATGGCGCCTAGATGTTGATTGATCTGTAGGAGGTAGTTTCAGAATGGCCGAGGTGGATGTATACTTGAGTTAACTACAATTTGCGTATTACAACAATCCCCTTTGAATATCCTCAACAACCCTTTATTAAAGTTATCCGCGAAAGAGAGTTGAAGATGGCGACTGGGAGTAGCTGTCGTGGGCTGCCTTGAAATGGGAGTTCGTCATGAGGAAATGAGGTAACTGTATAGGGATGTTACGTGATCAGACCACTCTGCAGTCCATAAGTCACTGTGCCAACCGGAGATCTGAAGCGTTCCAAATTGTGTGGTTGGTAGTGGGTCAGAATAAATGGACGTATCGATTGATTATGTGATTCAGGAACCTCATGCATCCAAATCAAAACTAATATACAACACGGCCGTTTATTTGACCGTTCGATCACAAGCGTTCCATCGGCGAATAAGAACATAGCAAGGTGAGGCTGACATTACGAAGTCAGTTGAAAGCTCCTGTCCCGCTCGGAAAACAAAAGGTTAGCTTTTCCGTTCCTACTGGTCATTCAGCTGCAGACAGATAGGCTAAGAACTGGTAATTTTGATTTCATACTCTCCTGCACATTTTCCGAAGTGGAGAACACTTTGTTCACACACTGCATTAATGAAACAAATAGCGACACAACTGCTGAGCAAAACATTCTCCCGAATATTCATCAGAACCGCTAGAAACTCATAAGAGATTTTTTTATTAAAACTGGTTTCCGGTTGTCCGGTTGTACGCATGCTGGTCAAATTTTAACAACTACGAGGCTCGACGATACAAGTGTAGAAAGGAACGCGATGTGCTCCGGGTGCACTTTTTTGTTTGATTTGAATTATTCGTTAAAATGTTCGATTTATGTTTGCCACATTCACGTGGCCTGTACCAAAGGAATGGAATATCTTGAATTTGAATTCGGTATCATCAAATAATCGTTCAATTAGTTACTGTCCCCAAGAACCTCAAGTTGGTTTACCATATGGAGTTGTTAAGCACCATCTGACTGTTCAGTCCTTTTTGGGAATCAGCAAAGGCATGCATCATACGGATCTAAAGACGATTTGAGTAGATAACCCTCTAGCTTAAAGCTGAATACTCGGGCTTTCGGTCACGTGTTTCTGACTGACTGTTCAGTCCTTTTTGGGAATCAGCAAAGGTATGCATCATACGGATCTAAGGACGATTTTAGTCGATAACCCTCTAGCTCAAAACTGAATACTCGGCCTTTCGGTCGCGTGTAGCTGATCAATACTGAGGTAGACTCGCACTTAGACAGGAACAAGTGCCATCGCTACTCAACAACGCAGTTGGCACTAACCACCACAATGTTCACCAACTTCACATTAAGCATTTAGGTGATTCTAGAAAGTGCTTTTAATTTTTTGCAAGAGTTCATTCCGTGAGATGAAGATGTACAAGTCCCCTCAGCTTTTCAACACTGATTTGACTTATTCAGGTTTTCTCAAATGATCAACGTCCTTGGCATCCTGTCAAACGGAAGATCCGTCCTCCGGTATCAGATTTGTATCGATGTATACTGCTGATGAAACTGCGAGTAGTGTCTGGGTAAGTGTGAATGTGCCGTCGCCGCATATGATTGAAAATTGGTAGGGGAATTATGAAAGCGCTTTGTATCGTCTTCTGGTTGTCGTTTTACGTTCACGTGTCCATTGACAACTCTGTATTCAAGGGCGCCCTCTTTCGGCTTGTCGTTTATGGGCGTGGAGATGGCTTTTTTCAGAAAGAAAAAATGAGTTACCGAAAAAGTGCTTTATGTACCTACCATTGGTGAAGCAAAAAATAAGCTGGCAACTGGAAAAGACAGTGATGGAACTATCTGATAACACGAAAAAAGTAAGTACCACAGTGCGCTTGCGGGTATCTAAATGCAGCGGACAAATTGGGAGAACGAATCACACGCACCAATCAAATATGGTTCTCAAAAGAGGTCTTTCACTGGGCGAAACACGCCCCTTTTTGACTGAGATGTGTTACTTGCTTTTGCGCGTTACAAAAGCAAAAACACGAAGAGCAGCTGTTGTCTTGTCACAGTTGGGACCCGAATATATTCAGGTTGTTCTTGAATGTAGGGTCCTGGTAGCAGATGTGTGAGCGATTCGAAAGGGAAAACTTACGTTTATGCACACTGCAATGAATTCATCCTTAGAAATTTGGCCGTCGCGGTCTAGATCGTACTTCTGAAAGAAACCAAACAGTAAATTTTGCTTGAGATCAAACAAGGAAATTTTGTGAAAAGAGAAAGCCGTATGAACTCACCCAACCCCACCATAAGCCCATGAAAAGAGAACAGAATGACTGCAGCAGCCGAACAGTTTAGTATTCATCACCTAACTGGGAGGTCATGGGTTCGAGTCTCTGGAATTTCTTGAGATTAATAAATCCCAATGAGGCTTAGGCAGCTGCACAGGGCCTCCCGACTTTTTTTTACCACAGATCGACTTCACCTACCGGACAATAAATTTTGCCATTTGTTGTTCTGCTATCACGATCCTCAAATCCTAATAAGTTGTTCGGTAAAGCATTGAGTAATGTTGATTTGGAATTTGTCATTGGGAAATCAGCTTAGTTTGTACAGAGTGGAGGCGAAACACACGTGAGACTGAATCATACCAAACAGTGAAGGATTTGCACATCAAGGATACAAAGCGTATTGTACTGCTTGTTGGAGAAGAGGGAGCTTTCAAATATCCTTCTGGAATAAATACATAACATCACTTATTCAAAGATTCTATCCACATACACTGACGTTATTTGTTTATTAAAAGTACCGAAGGTATCCTTGACACCAGTGATGATCTTGTTAAGTCTCTATTCGGTGTTTTTTGGAAGAGTGAATGAAGTCAGTCTTCAGATGTGGTGACGTTGTCTTTGGTCAGGACGTTTTCTGGGAAGCAAAACCATACATTTTCAAACAGTGATCTAGGCTGAAGAGTGTTTCTATTGTGAGTTCTCAGATATTCGGTTCACTATTGATTTGACCCCAGCATTCGTGATCGAGGACAATCATTGGTTGTCTTTGTGCTCAGTGCTCAGGGTTAGTACCGCTAAATAAGGGTAAATAGCTGACCAGATAAGCATGTTAAATGAGGTTTCTCAACCTTTAAACACGTGATATCAGTGATTCTGAGTAAACTTGAGCGGGCACGTAATATTCCGAAAATTCCCATCTATAATAAGAACACAGACGAGCTGACAAACATGTTTTCAGGCAGGTATTTTCAAGTTACGCATTTGCAAAGGTTAAGAGTCCAGTAGTTATCATATACGAATGAGCGTGGTGTATATGGACAGGAAGTCTATTGTGAGACGACATCGGCTACTTATCAAAGAACAACTAGTTCAGGTCACCAGTAGGGTGACTTGAGCTTGTCAGTGCGGACAGTGTGCTGGGGTTGTGTTCACCGCAAGGTGTATGGTTGAGGGGAGATGAGTTGGATCATGGTAAGTACAACACAAGAACAAGGCGTTTATGCCGACAAAGGATCGCGATGTCGCGATGCCGTATGGCGATAGCTTTGGCCACTGCGATTGTGCGTTGCTGTACTGATCTGGGTTGATTAGATGGCGCCTTGTAGACGATGCGGAAGCCTTGGCTGGCTATCACGTTGTGTGTGGTCAGCAGTTCATTTTCTTCCAAGCAACAACTTCAGCGCAAGGGAGCACGTTTTCTTACCTCCTACGAGCACAAGCAACCATGTGTTTAAAAGACTACGCTGTATTCAGATATCTACTGCGATTGTCTGACCACGAACACCTTCATGGACTTCGAAACTTATTTTCCACATGCCTGTTCGACCGCTTAGCTTTCCGAGAAAAGGTATGTATTTTAACTTGAAACACGTTGTCTGAGTCAAACGTCGATAAAAGAAAAGTATCAAACAGGATCACCTAAACAGCTGGTAAGAACTGTTCCGACAGAAAGACCAAGTGAATTTTGGAAGAATATTCTACATAACGCAACCCAGCCCTTCAGTTTGCTTGCCAAAGAACCGAACCATCAAAAAATTCTGAATGGATATGTAAGGGCTCTCATTCCGCCAGACTGACACTACAAAAAGTGTGAGCAAAAGGGAGTGTCCCGGAGCCTAAAAAGCAACCGCCGGAGATTGCAAGCGAAAAGAGCACAGGGTGTGAAAATCTGGTTGCCATTGAGAGATCGATTCAAAGGAATCTGCGAAAGCAAAGAATCCACCTAGATAGTCGATATTTTGACTACACCTCCGCTCTACAACGCATCGCCATACTTACAGAGCGTTTTCCGAGCCTACAAATAGCACCCGAACACACGAATAGCTCTGATTATGACGCTAATAGACTAACAACGACATGCCAAATATCTTCATTTCAATTTGCTGCTCTCTGTATTCTAACCTGGACGTGTAAGGGTGTACGAAGCTTATTCTCTTCAGTTTACTGTCAGAAGAAATGTTCTACACAGCTAACTCTTTTTACCGCTTTTCATTAACTTCCTGATCAAAATCACCATTGGCGAACCACCGAAATCACCTGTTTCCGCGTCAGATGAGCTACATCCTGAAGAATACCTCAGTGAGTTCGAGTATATTGACGATAATGTTCAGTCTGTCCTGCAGGATACCACATAATAATGATAAAAAATGATATGAATTACCTAACAACTGGTTTTGGAATAAAACGTCAAGTGCTACTTCAGGGCCTGAGGCCTCGCCACCCAATCAAACGGTTGAAGCCCAACAAACGGTATCAGACCGTGGTCTGGTTTCACGTTTGTTGCTCCTTTTTCCTATTTCGTCTTATTAGGCGGTGGCCAAAGTATATGGCGACCAAGACCATTGCGCATCTATAAAACATCCACGAATGATAAACGGCTTGACAGAGCAGCAGACAAAATTAGACTCAGCGAAGAATATCTTCCATAACACTTACTTCCATAACTGTGGACACACGATCTTCAATGGATTGTGCATCCTTCAGAGGTTCTCCGCGACCACGCATCAAATCAAAAATAGCTGTAGCCACTTCAGTCATTTCGCTTCGGCTGATGAACCCGTCATCGTCCAGATCGTACAGTGCAAATATCCAGTCAATTTTTTCTGCGTCACTTCCTCTTGTTATTTGGGAAAGAACTCGAGCAAATTGCTTAAATATGTAAAAGGCATAAAGAATGACAATAAGTGATCACGTGTGCATAATACAGAATGTAGAAAAACGACCCTATGTGTTCAAAAAGAACATAAATTTGACTAAATTCGGGGAATATGACCACAAAATGAGACCGAAGAGAAAGAGCGAAACCGGTCGTGGGCTCTCGAAGAGTTTTCAGCAAACTTGTGAGTATTGGCTCAGCAGCTGACGTGATGGACCCTTGAATCCAAGAGCGTCAGTGAACCTAACGTTGTGCAAATCACGAAGGAAAGTCATGCGATGAAGTCAACAACTCTTCTAAGTTCAACCCCTTAATAATGAACTGGCTTATGTTTGCCAGTATCTCCAGTCATTATTTTGTCCCGCCATGGGGTTCGCATCCATGGGGAAGGCAAACGCTGGTGCAACTGAACAACCGCGTTTTGAGAACAGAGCCTTTTTATCGCCAAACGCCTGTGGCAGTAAGTCAGGAGGAAAATACACGGACATCTTGAATTTTAGCCAAGCTGGACTCTAATGCGTACCATTGATGAAGCTCATTTTGTCAAAGAATATCATTTTTGTTTGAACTGATAGTTCTTTCTATTTGTGACGTCAGTGCACACTGAAAAGCACAGAAGCCTTGTGTTTCATCCCTACAGGGTGTCATCAAAACTGAGTATGTAATCCAAGGGAAGTTCGAATACGCGTCCTCCCAACTCTTGGTTTAAACACATCCGTTCGACCACAAATGTCTGACGAGACTGCCGGACATAATCATCTCAGTTTACGCTAGAGTATCTTCCATGCGTATAAAATGTTCAATGTGTACGCATCAAATACGAGTCATTGGGGTTTGGTATCTGAACAGCAAAGCCCATAACAAATGGCCAGAAAGTTTCCATTGACTATGTGCTATGAATAAAACTTATCGCGTTGCTGTTTGGCTGAAAAATTTTGCTATCTGTAAAGGGGGCAAACAAATGAAAGTCATTAAATAATGTATGATTTCCGAGTGTCAGCGGTAAATTCCTGCAAAGTGACCGAGCTTCGGTCCACAAAATACCAATTTCTCTTTATCGAATCCATTGTCTGCATGATTTACGAAAATTCTTGGACAGCCCATGAGCTTCCTCCCTTACTTTAGGTCCTCCGTAAAGGCCTAGTTCCCCAGTTTCCATCAGCATTGAACACCGAACTGAACATGGAATTGATTGTATTGGATTCACTGCAAATTACATGTCTTAAAGGGAGGAGACTGAATTGTATCCATCGTTTGTGATATTTTCCAGCTAATGTTGTTTCATTGTCACGATATTCATGGTGAAAAACTATAGGTTCTTGAAATAAACCACTATATAGCATAATCCGGGAGTTCATTTGGGTCTCCCGCAAGACGAAATTTCTTTGAAAACAGTCTAATTCGCTACCCACGTCTAAATAAGACTTATGTAGAGACTACAACTACATCTACCTCGTGAGCCTCAAGAAAGGTGAAGTTGGTAGTAGTCTGTCTTTGTGTCGGTCTTTGTGCGATACATTTAGCTGAAAAGTATAATAAAATCACGATCCCGTTGAGTCTCCTGTTGACGCCGAAACAATCCACGAATCGGTGTAGTTCACCCTTCGTTCACTTTGCTCCATTCAGAACAGAAATTTAGAAGAGCCTGTCACCTAATTCAGCCATCCATACATTTGACTTCGCCAATCCTCCGACTCGACGCAGAAATCCAAAGATGTTTTAAGTTCAAGGTCCAAAATTTTAAATACGCTTTTTTTGGTTTAAAAGGTAGTCCGAGAATTTTAGGAGATAATGACAGGTTGGAAACGCTATTTCTATTCTTGCGGAACCTCATGGGTGACTTTTTCGGCAATCAGAAAAGCCAACTGGGGAGACTACCGTTCAGCAGCCTGGATGTAGGTACTTCGATCGCATTTGTGCCTTACAATACCTGATGTTCCAAACTTACTTTTTGTGGTATCTCAATAAAATAGCAATCGTTTTCGATTTTGACTGACATATTGCCAGCGAACTGGATCGTTTATGCTAAAAATTACGTGACTTTCCAATTTAGGCGACAAGTTGGACAAACAGGAAACAAGTGCACTCATTATACCAGCTAGCTCGATCAATACTTTTATCAACTGGAAGTTGCAAAACCCTTAGAGTAGTTGATTTTCCTCAAACTCGAACATTTACGAGTTTCAATTAGGTGGACTAAGAATCTCAGTGTTGCTCGCAAATTAGACGAATGTTCGATTGAAGAATCAATCACGTGGACCAACTGGAGGCCCCAAACTAGTGTTGGTGATATGTTCAAATTCTTTTGTTGAATAAAGCCTCACTGCAACCGCAAACTTTGCGAACCATGTGTCGTTTATCCTGTACATAGTTTCTGTTGTGTCTGTAGCTGATTGTCCGGAGAAGTAAAAGTTATTTGAGTTCACTGTTCAGGGGAGCGGTCATTGGAACACCAGACTCTTTTGCATCACCCAACAAGGGTGATCTGCTTTTAATGGTTAGTTGCTCCACAGCAATCAATTTGATCAAAATCTTGCATTCGGTTTATTTAGTTCGTTTGGGCAAAAGAAAGCACACAGGGGGCCAACACTTTATGAATACAAATAAAGCCTCATCCAGTTCTAAGTGTCATTGGTTCATCAAACAGCAACGCTCAGTCTCATCTTATCGTTCCCCCAAAATCATGCTTCTAAGCAATAAATCTGTGAGACGATACAGTGACGCAGCAAGTCTGAATTGCATGTTTATTTTCTTGCCTCAAAGTTTTGTCTTCTCAGCGTCACAAAACGGGTAATAAACGGACTATATATAGTCTAGACAGGGTGGCGTTCGGCAAAATTTACTGTAAAGTCGCTCTGGCCGAAACAGCGAGCCTGACTTCGACCTGTAGTTCATTCGTGAAATTTCGAAATCCCAAAGCAACCTGCTGCGATATAATAAGCTTATCATATGCACAATAGAATTTAAAGAACGCAGATCGTTTGGCTTTTCATTTGCTAGTGTAAACATCACCAAACCAGCGAAAAAACAGACATACTGTGTCTGTTGGTGGAAAAATGTTTGTGATGACATTTGTAGAAAGACTGTTGTCGAGAAAAGGTGTCCAACGAGGTTAGACAGTTTCGAGAGTTAATGAAATCAGAAGCGATTGAAAAAGCTGCGACCCGCGAATGAACGAAGGACTACCTCTACCATGTTTATAATGTCCCGTATGTGAAGTCAGTCTGTGCCAAAAAGCCAGGAAGCACTGCACAACCGATTGATTGTTATGGAGAACCATCAGCAGTGTACATCTCAAGAAACTCCATTAGGGGGCTAGGAAACCGTGACTCTCAGGCTGGTAGATAGGACGCACCCGTTCAAGCACGAGTGACTGATCAGTAGTATGGGTCAAGCGAACTAGGGCAGGATATACCGCCATTCATCTTTCAATCGCAGACGCCACATAAAGCAGTTATGCATTGACCGGCTCTTCCATTGACTGCATACATGAAGAAATTCTAGTGGAGTGTTCACAAATCTCCGCATACTGCCAACCATTTATAAGTAGCTATGAGGAAGAGTAGATTCACAAAGCTAGTGAAAATTCCACCCGGAAAGTCGTCACACGAGGCACTATTTGAAACGGGACCAAGTGGTGCGGTTTTCGTGATTGACGCTACCTCGTGTCCGACCACGAATTGATCACACTGCTGGTAGGTTGTCTGTGACGAAACGGTTAAGTGTTCCGACTAGCAACCGCGGAGTCGCAGGTTTAAAAAACCCTGTGCTTCGCGAGATTTGCACTACCGATTATTCCCAAATCAGAATGGTTCATCACGCGCGGTATTGTGAGAAAACCACGTGTTTTAATTGGGCTTAGGAGACTTGACGAATGGTGCTAACCACACACTATCTGATGTTACGCCATGCGTTGGTCGGCGGGTGAGCCTTAACAAGTGCGTGGGATTTCGTTGCCAGTCTTTGAGTTTGCATCAGACCTATGGACTTACAAGTAGAACTTCATTTGTCTGGACACAAAACTGTTATGCCAGCATATCGATGTGCGGAATTCCCGCACCCCAGATCGCCTTTCGAAGGTGCATTCATTTGGTGCGCTAGCCAAACAAGGTTTATGCAGTTCTGTGTCCACATTTAAGGAATCACCCTAGGATGCATTTTTAGGTCTGTGGAAAATGTACATCTGGGTCACAGCAAAATATCTTCCATTCTTGCTCCGCGCTGTATTCTGCTGTTGGCGTCCAGGTGAAAGCACATGGGATCAAGATCTCTTAGTGTCATAAGTAAGGAAACATTTGTTCTTACCTCGAAGGTTAATTCTCCCGCCCGTCCTTTATCGAATACACGGAAACACATTTGAGCATATGCGGCTGAAGCTGTTTTAAAGGGTGCGTTAACATAATGGTATGTTAGAAGCATGAAATGTCCTCAGAAAACTCACAATAAAAAAGGAATGCGAAATATACACCACTATAATCAAGCTAATATTACCAGGCCACCTTCTTTTTCGATACCACGAGTAATGTGAGTATCGTTAGGTTTTACGAAAATGGTGAGCAAGACCCGTTTTTAATTGCTGGCGGTGTGTTTGAAGTCAAACGGAACAAATAATCATGGTTATTTAAAACAGTGAGGTGATCCAAGCAAACGTCAAAAAATTAGACGCCGATACACCATCCAATTTAAGGAAAGAAAACCACTGGAGACAAATATCTGATGAACCCATCAAATGGAAGGAAGACAGATCGGAACACAATACAGGGATTAATCAACGGAACCAATCAGAACAAGAGAACAGAACCAACGAATATACCCAAAAAACCAATTAGGTGCAAAATGATCAAAAGCTAATGCGACTCGAATTCGAAATGGGGCGGTCAGGTCATGTGAAACTGACCCCTCAAATAACCAATCGGATTGGAGTTACTGAAATCAAAAGTCAAAATTTGAAGAACTGCCCTCCCAAGCGGGTGCCAAGCGCATGTTCATGTCTGGTTCCAAAATGGTTGCATAGTGATTGCCGAGAGTGGTGAAAAAGTTAACAGTCAACTGCCCTCCCAAGCGGGTGCCAAGCGCATGTTCATGTCTGGTTCCAAAATGGTTGCATAGTGATTGCCGAGAGTGGTGAAAAAGGTTAACAGTCACCTGATCACCTGGACGTGCCAGAGTAGCCAATATTTCTACAAAGTGCTCAGAAAGGATACAGTCTTGCAAAACATTTCATCACATAAGTACAAAGGACCTGTTATTAGTTTGTGTGATGTTTTTAAACCGAAATCTCATCTTACAACCGCCTGGCCGGTAGCATTTTGGTCGACACAAAAATCACTCGGCCGTTTCAAAACAAAGGTCAGTAATGCCCTTCAACCCAAGTTACTTTTCTGGTCTATCCGTTTAGATTTTCGTATCCATGAGATGTACACCGAATTAGGAACAGAGATTCTTGTCATCTGTTTGTTATCTGTGAGCCCATAATCATCCACTGCCGGAGTAAATCAAGGCAGAGTTCATGGTGAGATCATAACTGTATTACAGACTAACCGAACCAATAAAGATCCCCATCCAAACCGAACACTTATGCGTGACGTTAAGCTATCAACTCTTCTCACATTTGCGGTAACATTACATTGTTATTTTCAATGTTATTTTAAATTGTTCGTCCACAGGTTGCTCACACCGAGCTCTTTGACCTCTTCTGTTGAAACATTTTACTGAGAATGAGAGCCTGAACGACTTCACTAACAGTCCGGCTGTTCGCCAAATGATGAGCCACAAAACCGGGCTAAGAGCAACGGATGTTTTGCTGACGCCCTTTGAAGAGAATCCACACAGTATCAACAAAATTCGTACCTTCTTATGATAGCTTCACTGTGTGAGAGGCTTCGCCAACCTGGATTTAAAAAGTGCGAATTACAATTGTTAGTACATTCAGAACTGTCTTATTTGTCATTCATTGATTTTTCGAATTATCGATCATTCTCGTTTGCTTGTTTATTATTTTGCGTCGTTGTTTTGCTTTCATAGTTATCACTTGCATTTCGGGCTCGGGAATTTGCGCTCAACCACGATGATTGGCACCTTACAAGTTTATTCACCACTGTTTTCCCTTGTTAAAGTTTTGGCATGAAACACTAACCATCGTTTTGCTGTCAAGCAATTGCTAAAGCAACAAAACTTACCAAATGGCAAAAACGTTATTTCTATTGATTTCTATTGGGTGATGGTATCAAAATGCCGTGTAGTCAAAGCGTGATGTGTTATTAACTGTTTTTCTATCGCATAGCTTCATTCTGAGCGAGACTGAATGACAATTGCTGTTTGGTTGGGGCAATTCGCTAAAATTAGATCATTCACTAGTTACTACTAGGTGAGATCTGTCGCGAGTCCTGATGTTGCCGTCATGCCCATCCGGTCGGCTGAACACTGTTGTGTCATAAATCCTTCCTGTAAAGCTAGTCACGTTCGGAAAGTTTGACTGATCAAAAGAATCAACCACACGCACCATTTGCATACGTTAATTTGTTACCAGAGTTGTGTGATATTCTTTGCAGAGTTGGATGGGTAGCAGAAAATTCAAAACGGTTCAACTTTTTCTCTTACATAGATTCTTCTATGGGAGGGGCTTTCTTGGGATGGGGCAGTCATTAAAAACGTATGCTTTTTATTGCCAATGAGTATTAGCTTTTGGCTGTCTTGTGCAGAATTTGAAAGTCTTGCACCCGTTTTGTTCTGAATGACAGTGCAGCACAGAACTCCGCCTGGTTTAAAATACCTGTTGAGTTGTTGCATCGAGTAACCGAACCAGGCAATACATTACCTACCATTATTGTTCAAGACTCGGAATTTTGTTGTTCCCGTCACAGATGGTCCTGAAAGTCGTGGTAACTGGTGAATTTCCAGAAAGTTCTCTACACACCTGCTATCATATGTAGAACACGAATCCAGGTCTTTCAAAGCAGAATCTTCCGTTATAAAGCGGAATGCGATCAATGTTCCGTTTCACGCAATGTCTAGCCACCAAATCCGACCAGCACATCAGTTGATCCTCTTCTATAAAACTCAGGATGTCCTACCGCATAATTTGAATACATGTGATCTATTCAACACTATACTCACAAAACATACGTGTCGCAAAAATAATTACTCTTTCTTCGTCCATCTAGTATGTTACACGACTGTAATACCCGATCCAATCTGCTTTAAACGAATTCTTTCTGACTCCACGACAAAACTTCTCGAATATTTCAATATTTTATTTTTAGTAGAACTAAATGAGTGAACCCAATCATTTAAATTTGTATAGCACGAATCACGACTTGGAAATGTGAGTAGATAACATATATTTCCTGAATTGAACTTTTGATACTATTTGCCCTGGTTTTTACGAAGGGCACTCCAGCATTACGAGCGTCTACAAGATATTCGGATGGTTTATCCACATTTATCGTAAAACAATATTCTGCCTATTAGACAATACTGTGCTACACGTCAGAATACACCAACAGGCCCTCCCACATACGAGCTGCACGGAGCAGTCATTCAAGCTACCCGTGTAACGCAAGATACTACTGATGGGGCATGCGAGTAGTGTTTTCTTATAAATCTGCTTTGCGTCTAGTTGAAAGTGAGATTCATCACGAATTTTGTGGAGTGGGTTTTTAACATTCGTGTACGTTTACTTGATAGGCAGTGAATATCCAGGAAAGTTCAGGAAGACACTTTTGAGAAGAAGACGGTATTCAGTTTTTATAAACAAGATGCATTTGAGAGTTTTGATTTCTGTCCGATATTCTGTAACTGTTCATTTGGAGCCTTCTAATAAGTAGCTCCGCAGCTAAGGGCTCCTCTCTTTCACCCCTAGCTGGCGTCAACTAGAAAGAATAAGATCGGAGGATCAAACAATAGGTGGCGATTCTTGAGCAATCCACATTCCCCATCTCCTGACTCTTGGCAGTTAGTTTGAAGGCATGGAAAAATGATCAGTTGAGACATGCACACTATGCAACACATCGTCTGCTGGCCAGGACAACTCGCAAGAAACCGAAATAAACAGACGTGTCTTGGAAGACCAAGCATAATTCATTTGATGCTCACTGCGATGATCGCAGCACCAACGCTGGTTAGTAGTGAAGCAGGCATCCAACTTGAGGAGTCAAATCAGATTGATTAAATAAAGAATAACTAAGTCCTCTTTGGGCCTGCGTGGTATCCATCTGGATAAAAGTGGCGGCTCTCAACGGCCAATAGGATACACAGTGCACATTCATAAGACCAAACAGTTCTCCAAATATTAGGGTAAGTTCAACTGTTGTTAGATTTTTTGTGACTCGGAAGGAGTGTATTTTGGCTATGATGAGATGCGTTTCTGTCAGGTTGGATAATACTGCACTCGAAGCGCTGTTAAGCGGCATCGGAAAGTATTATCTGTGCCTAATGGCTGGTCATACTAATTAAATATGATTTCCAACAAAACGATACGTATGGATACACGCGGAAGCTGGTGGCTTAACTTGGCAGTTTGTCTTTCAGATAAAACCTGACACAGATTAGCGGCTGTGTATTCATATCAACGGAGCAAACTAGGTTCGACATCGAGTAAATCTTAGCTGTTCATTGTACTTTAGGTCAGAAAAACCTATCATTAGTGTGAAGTGAACTAAAATTGTGGATTGACTGGGTTTTTTTAAAGTTTGAAAGGCGCATTCTCCAAGGTCGTTGGGAACCTAGACTGACCCGGAGGAACTGAGTGGCGCCAAGATTTCCCACTTAAGCAGTGCACGTGAGCGCATACCCATGACCCCTAAAGCAGTACAAGCAAACTTACTATCTGACTAAACTTATACATGTGTCAATATATATATGTATATAGCTGGGAATCGAACCTCCTGCTACCCTTCTATTGGACGCGTTCATCCACAGTTGCATTTACACTCAGCTTGTTACAGCAAACAACTATCTGTCCAAGGAAGTGCATTACAAAACCGTACTGTTATCACCGAGGAGTATTTGAGCCAACAAAACTGTCCAGCAATAGTGACTACTCGGAACTCCAGACCACCGACTTCTTTGTCATTCCAAGTCAATCATTCATATAGATTCCTCTGTGGAACAGCATTTTTGATCGCTAATAACTCACGAGGAAATGCCGACTTGCTAAAACACGTTCCACTTATGTTGGAGGTGTTGACGTAAAACATCTCATCATTGTTTCTGAACAAACTTCCTTACTTGTTTGAATTGTTTCGTCGAAAGAAAAGCGTTTCGTGCAGAAAAACCCAACTAGTTACAAGCGTTTTGTAGGGTGTATTCTCAGCTATTGGCTGGAGAGGTCTCAGTGATGTACCATAGTTAGATGGTCTCGTTAAAAGCTCTAGGCTACAAGCCATTCTTCTGTGTCGCTCCTGAGAACACATCCTGAACAGCAAGTGCCTTCAACAATGTCAGTCACAATGAGTTCGTAGAGTTTAGAAAAATACTTGATGCAGTATACACCTCAAGGAACCGCGCATTATGTTGGAATCGAAAACTGATTGTTCGTATGCACAAGTAATTGTCATAAACCATTTGTGTTCTTTGGTTCTCAAATATCGTCTTTCAGGCGAAATGATACTGTACATTTTGAGGCACCAGCGTTTTTGGTAGACCTGTGATTATGGACTGTCCAGGCGCCTGAATGTTAGGCGAAACGTAATTTAGCGCTGCTGATTTCTCGGAGAACCAAGAAGACCAGTGGGCGCTGTGTTACATTAACGCACCAAATCCAAGGAGTTCAAAATGGAATGTTTGACAAATTACATTGCAGAACAGACCGCCCAGGAAACCCGGTAGGTCTGTGTGCCACGCATGAGTCGAATTTAACTGGAGAAGATTCTTTGTTACTCTAACATGCGTCCACGCAAATCCAGTCTGGTGGAAGTTTCCGCATAGTTTATTGATTGCAATAAGCTTTCTAAACCAAGCCTTCGAGATTTTGACAAGCTTTACCACTCACCTTCTGACTGGAGCGAAACCAGTTTAGGATCGGACTAGTGGAGTAGCTATTTAGAAAAAAATATTAATTTTGCTGTTTCAAAACCGACAGTTCAAAATGGTATGGGTTTTTTCCCGCATGTCGACAGATCTCATTTTGTTTCTGACGGATTCTAACGCACCAGACCAACCTTTCCAGACACGCACATGCTCAAGTTCGTTCCTGTACAAAAACTTTGTGAACAACCAGTCTGTAGCGGGGAAAAGCGCGCTGAAAATCAGTCTTACCTCTACTTGGAAAGAAGCTTTGATAAATCTGAATAAATGTATCCTTGTTCGCATAGCCTGTTGGACAGATCTGAAACGAAAGAAAAAATCCAAGTGAGTTGCATTACAAAACGTCAATGCATACCAAAAAAAAATAATTTCTATCATTTATTTCTGACACTAAGAGAATTCAACGTACGGCTTCATGTTACTTGTACTCACCGTGGTCACACCCCACTTTCAAGTTGTTTGAAAGGGCAGGCTAGTTTGAAAAATATTAAGAAGAGTTGTCAAGCGGAGAGGAAAGTTTTTTATCCTGACTGTGGTCTTTCCCTCTGAATTCGAGCCTTGAACTCGCAGGAGAGAGAAACCAAGCTTTGGGGACAAATTTACTATATTAAGGGACCAGTTTTGCTTTCCAGTGCAAATTTGGCTGCAATAGCCGAGGAACCTTGATCTTGTTGTCTCAGTTCCCTACAGGGAAGAATCGTATACATCAAAAACTTCAATAATACCTGGAGGATGATACTGAACATAGTGAATCAGCTGCAACTTACTTCCTTGTCTTTATACTCGTGGCTGAAATTTCGTAATGTCAGTGAATACCTGATTCTATTTTCGGAAACAAAATGTTATTCTCGCCGCTCTTCAAAAAGAGAAAAACATCGCGCTAAAAATGTTTGCCTAATCTATGCAGTCCAGCCCAGTTATTCTTGTGGCAATTCAGTACTTTCAGATAAGCAATGTGTTCTTCTGGCGGAACGAATTTCATGTAGACAGCAGCATATTAATGTGTTTAAGTCTCTTGGGAAGCGACAAAGTGCTCCAGGCATTTCCACTAAAACTAGTTCGTGGAATGAAAAATCGGGCGGCACTATGCAGAAAGCGTGCACTAATATTTTGCTGGAAAAAGAATTTCAGCAACCTATTGGGTAAAAACGTTTGGAAATAGGAGAGATTTTTGACCGCCAAACATGAGGCCATGCGCATACTTTGCGATAGTAATAGGCGAAGGCGAGGTGGCCCAAGTGGTTAGAGCACGAAGTTACTGACCGAAAGGTCCGTGGTTCGAACCCGACCTCTGCCTCTCGACTTCTCCTGCCTAGGCTTGGGCAACCTGGCAATATCTCATTCTTTGTACAAACTTCGGGTGACAGTTAGGCACCGAAAGGGTGCTACAGCTGAACGATAGTAATAGACAGAAGCCCAACAGAGGTACACCAGAGATGGTGATATTCAATCGATGCCATATGAATTGTCAGTTGATCCCGAGTTAGAATAACAGACAGACGCAATCAAAATTGCCAGACACCACGCACTCATGAACCTCATACAAGCCACGAGGGCTGTGGTAGATTTTGATAATACTGAGGGCGTAAACTCTAGAGCAGTAGAACCGCATTTTTTGAAAAGCTGTAGCCTCCAGAACGGTTTATTTAGTTTTATCTGTATTAGAAACGTTGAGGTTATTCGAACCGGCGATCTTCTAATAGGCATCTTTACACAGTGCCACTGTACTATCAGCATAACCTGTCGGCAGTGTGATTAACGCCTATTTGGATGGGACAGCGAGTTGACTTAACCTCAGGATTTACTCTTTTGTTCGAACAGCAGAAATTATGCGGTCTCATATTTACTGATGCCGCCGCATTTAACCTTTCTTTAGGTATACGAAACAAAACGTTTAATCGTTAGATTATCCTGATCTGTTGGTCTTCACCGACAGAATAATCTGTGAACACATAAATAAAACTACTCACAAGGTTGTTGAAAACTCTTCAAAAGCCCACGACCGGATTCGCCCTTCTTGGGGCTCATCAGGTAAGCGCAGTCCCCGAGTCTCCGTCAACCCTATGTTCCACTTGAACTCAAATTGGACTGTTTTCGAGAACTGCACTCATTTGCAAATCAATTTGGTTTTGATGAGAGACTCAGCTGAATCTCTCGTTTATGATATTGTACAACTGAATGTGCTACGCACAGGTCGACTGATGTTTCAGCTGGTACGATAATCGAGATATCAAGTTGATTCGCAAATGAGTGTATTTCTCAAAAATCTGCAACTACGTTACTAACTCCTTTATGTAGCGACTACAACAGTCTGGCTTTGTCAAACCCACGTGAAGTTAAAAAAAATCGTCCAGCTGTAACATCCTTTTAGGGCCTAGCTGCCATGCCACCCGAAGGAGGCACGAGGACTGGGATACTTCCAGGTCGCCCAAGCCTAGATAAGGCAAGTCGAGTGGCTGAGGTTGGGTTCGAACCACGGATCTTCCGGCCAGTAAATTCGCGCTCTAACCACTTGGTCCATTTTGTGAAGTTAGTCAAAACTGTTGCACAACTTATGCATTCAAAACATGACTCCAAATCGCAAACACAGATGTATTAATCAGATCAGTGTTCAGTGCAGTAAAGCGGTTACATCAACATACCTTTCCACATGGTACAATGGAAATTCACAATTCTAAAGGGACGGGAAAAGCTTATTCTGACATGATGATCACAAAAATTCAACATATTCTTAGCGTAAACTTACATCATTGTAACCCACAATAAGTGCCACCGAAACACTCGTACGAACCATAAACTGATTATCTTGAGGGACGAAAACGGGAGCCAAAACAAAGAAGGTGAATAAATACGTTATTTCCATTAAGTTGATGGACCAAGATCCATGTGGGCATTTGATTAACGGATGGGTTAAGGCTTCAGCTTGAGTTCACGATATCTTTCAATCCGATGAAATGCCAAACCAGCGTCATTTGTAGGCCAGACCTTATATATTTGACTACCGGGATCGCAACACTTATTATTTCATTGTGCGAAATCAGTAGCTGAATAACTCACGCGTTTAAATCCTTGGTAGATTGTCTGCAGTTCTTTCCGCGTGAAGTTGGTCAGAATTTCCAACTTTCTTATAGAAATTGGCTTTGCTTGTAGTTCGGGTGCGCTGAGATCGAGGCTGGATATATCTGGAGTAATAAAATGACAAAGTAAAAATTGACTTTTTTGAGCATATAAATGTTTAACATAAAATAGCCTCTTTTAAACAACACGAAGTAACTTTTACATCAAAAAAACGGTAACGCACATCTCGTGCAAAACTAAGTACTGAGAACGTGAAAGCAATCTTTAAAACAAAAATCAGAAACTTTACAACTGTCACTAGTGAAGTCCCCTGTTCTTCCTAAGAGATAAGGGACACTGTCATGCTGAACTATTTGCCTGATTCAGCTCTTCGATCAAGACCGAAAATTAAAAACTGCTGGCTCGATTAAGCTGTGCTTCGAGACCAACAATCTAGTTACGTACCGTTGATTAGCAAACAATCTTACACGCTCGCCCCGCATGTCAGATGTCCGGGGTTCAAATTCCGGTCATTGGATATGCACTGCTGGTCTGCTGATGAGCTCTAATAAGAGCAAAACTCGAGTCCAGTGCTTCCCTTTGGTGTGGACTCGCCGGAATAATTACGACAGAACAGGAGGATAACCGTTCAGACGATAGTAGTGTGACTATGAACAAAATCTTAAGATCGCAACCTTTGTGGGAGGGCATTTCATGCAGCCCAAATAGGCGGATCCTCAAGCCACAGCACTCCTCTTCATAACCTTAAATATACCCTAACAGACAGATTATTATTTTCGTTGAAGCGCCTGAAGTAAAACGCAAAGTTCCTTAGAACAGCTTTACTTTCATTGGTTTAAGCTGCTCTCACTTGGTAATCCTAGATTTGAAAAAGCTTTTTATCGAAGAATGCCTCAGAGAACACCAGGTGTAAGATACAAAACTCTGTCGATTTGTTATTGCCCAAGTAGGAACTTCTCCTTGCCCTCTGTTCTAGTTCCGTTCTGATGCTAGGAACTTTCTAGTACTATAGTTGGAGTGCACAGTCTCGTTTTTGTTAGCAGTGCGCTCCTGGTAGTCACTAATATCAAGGACTTGGATGAGATCAATGTTTCCCCTGTAAGCAGAATTAGCTTCCATTTGTTTAAAACAGCAACCCTTGAATCAAACGCAATGTTAAGAGTATAAGTGCCCTCGGATGTTTTACACGACGCACCGAGAGGGGATAAATACGCCGACTAATGACAAAGGTGTTATGTTCCTCCTCACGGAGGCAGTACGGGGGCATTTACTAGATTTCATGATGTGTAGGCATTTTTAGAGTCACGAGCAAAGCAACCGACGTTTTTTTAGATTACGATCTGGCAGAGTACATACTTTCCACTCAGCAAACAACCCAAGCTCTTTTTGAAACCGTGTTTGCTACAGTCAACCTGTCAACGCCAGGAAACACCCCATCCCCGAAACGCTTTTCATTTCGGGGAACTGTCGTGGATAGACTACATTGTAGTATTCAAGAAGGGCCTCTTCAGGACAAAACCCCAGAAGAACGAAAACCTCGTTTTTTCTAAGCCAACAACATAGATAAAATCAGTCTGAGGACGGGCAAATCCGTAAAATTCCTGTGAAATCACCTCAGCTGAAGTCTACTCAGTCCTCATTTTTGTAGCTGTGTTGTGTTCTTCCGAATTACTTGATTTCTGGAAAACGCGAATCCTGGGATCTTGTAGGGGTGCGAGTGGCTTACTCGCCGAATTTATAAAGCTGCGTAAAACTGTGTACTGATTAGACCCCAAAATGTCTTTGCATAGCTTTCTTTGGAACGACCCACTTAGCTCATGTTTGGTGAAAAAATGGGAGTCAAATTTGAGCTCCTCTACCCAAGTAAAACGGAATATTAAAAGCAGTTTGACGTTCCAGCATTGTCTTGTGGAAGTCAGAAATATGTAGCTCACAGAATTCCATTTTTTTACAAACGGTTTGAACACCATTTCTCTGGTCTAACCTGTCAAGTATCGACTAAGTTGGCATCGACTCAAGAGCTCACTGAATGTTTATATGTATGTAATATCATTGCTGGAAAGTTTTGCTTAGACTGCGCCGCGAAAGAGGTCGTTAAGAACTAGTCAGTGAGTTGGTGGAACTTGTAGCAAAGTTACTAGCTGCTGAGTTAGTACAGTAGCACGTAAGTATAAGACATACATTAAAGATAGAAGTCTGTTGGTGACTTGGCCATTTTGAATGGATTCGACGGGCCCAAGTGAACTACATGGGCTGCTCATGTACAGACCAAGGTAGTTCGGGAACTCCCAGCTGTGGCATAGTACAGTGAGTTGCTGGTAAAAAGTACTAGACCCATCGGACCGTCAGTCGTTTGCATTTTCCAGATTTCATAGGTATGACTGGTTTATTTGCCAGCGGATTTCAGCGAGTCGTACTGCGCTTCCCCAATATGGTAAACATGTCCCAGTTACTGTGCCTCATTTTATCTGTCTACGCTTTTGAGCGAATACAGTTTGGTCTGACAGGAAAGATAAATGGTTCAGCTATAATGCTCTTTCGGTGCCTAGCTGCCATGCCACTAGACGGAAGCACGAGGGCTGGGATAGTGTCAAGCTGCTCAAGCCTAGGCGGGTGAAGACGAGAGGCATAGGTCAAGTTCGAACCACGGGCCTTTCGGTTAAGAAATTCACGCTCTAACCACGGAGCCATCTCGCTTTTTTCCTTTAGCTACACAAGTTTATTTATTTTGTTAGTTCCCCCATGATATCGTTCCAGACAACAAGTGAAGGTGAGAAGAGACATGCTTTATGATGGAACAAAACGCGTGAGAAGCTGGGTAGAATTCACGGAGAGGGTGAGAGGGAGGGAGGGATCTGCTAATTTAAATAATTAGCCAAACAGCAGCCAGAGGCCAAAAAGAATCCGCTTTCCTCAGCAACTGTTAATCTGTGTTTAGACACGTTTGAAGTTCACGCTCTCTTTCCGTTCAAATTGCCCAAAATGATTGACAGAGTGTGAGCAGTCTTATCCGCAATTTTAATCTGAATACTCAGAAGTTCGCCCTCCTACAGTTAAGTTCCCACAATGTCCTTTGTTAATTTCCGTTTTCCGCACCATTTTTCGTTGCGTGGAGAACGCTCTACCCAAATGGACGGCTCGATGGGTTTTTTATCTGATGCATTGAAAATTTCCCGGGAATTTATTCGGTTTGCAAGTCATTCAAATTCATCCAACCGCCCTCACATGTGTATGAAAAAATCAAGTAGCGAAACACTGAATTCCAACTAAAGCTCGCGCTAATCATACTCTTCAATTAAACGTACACATGTGCATTTTGTCAACTACAAACAGTTGGATGTTAATTTTGAGGAAAACTTAGTGATTACGCTTACTTTAAAAGGGTACGCACCACTCGTGGACTCCGGATTTACTTTCAGCAACTTCGTAATTAGTGTATCAGCACTGCGCTGACGTGTCACCTCGCGCACCACTCGTGGACTCCGGATTTACTTTCAGCAACTTCGTAATTAGTGTATCAGCACTGCGCTGACGATGTCACCTCGATTGGTGATGAAACGTTTGCAATCCAACTGCCAAGCTCGGCGAACAGACCGAACCCAAGCAGCGCACCCGAGCTACCAACTAACAACCAACTAGTGTAGCTTTACTTCAAGACAGCATATCACAGTCCTTTATTTATCATGTCAGCTGAAGACTAGATGGTTTTACGCATCACATTCAGCTAAGTAATGTCACGGTTCAGGGCTTCAGTTAAAAACCAACCTAATTTGCAATTGATTGTGGACCGTCAACGGCGTGCAATGGGTGTTCGGGCAGAAGAGTTTTTATCGGAACATCGGGCACTATGCCTACAGGATGGGTCTCGAGAATCGTGAAGCCGGCAGGGAGCTGCTGAACATTTGTCAACGGCCCCATTATCAATATTTTGTATTAAACCAACCAACACATACATCTTTAGCTATTGAAGTTGCCTTTGTTCTTCAAACCGTTGCTGTTCTGAAGCCATTGGTATCAACCTAACCCTAATCTAGTAACTTTCTAAATAAACTCCGAAACGCATGTTTCCAAACAATAGTCTAGAAACTCCTTTACGGGTGAACATAATGAAAAAATGCAAACCTGTACAAGTGAAATAAGGAGAAAATGATCTCGATACACTTTCTAGGCCCGAAAATCCACATTTCTCCTATGACAGCTGTTTTCCAAATAAAATGTCTTTTAGTTCCAGGATGCTCGCTGGACCACGTTCCGCACACGTCAGACTTGCTGCAACCGAGTGCTCATAGTTGGGCTTGTGAGCAAAACCATCTTTCAGCTCAGTGGCTTGTGTAGGATCACACGGGTGGAAATTTGTTTTTGAACAGTGATAGGCCCTACATTTGTGCTTTGTACCATGGAAAGTCACGTCAGTGGGTCTTTAAACTACTGTCTCTCCCTTCCGGTCCATAAAATCGGTTCTAATCAACCGATGGCCCATACGATCCTGTACCAAGTATGCCTTTTTGAATTCACTCCACCAAAAAAAACCTGACAATGGCTGAAAATCCTGGTTAAGTGCTTATCAAAAGTAGTTCCGTCGGGCCCCGCGATCACCGCTATTTGGAGATCTGACACCAAGTTTCAGAGGGCTACGGCCATCAACGCCATTGCAACCAAATCTTGCACTGATGTTTCGCTCCCGTCATCATGGTTTTAGGTGGGTCAGTAGCCCAGACCTAGATAAAGGGAGAAAGGGGGCTCTCATTCAAAACCGTTGGTTCCAAAGCCTTACCGCAAGATGACCGTGTATGACCGGAAACGCCAAGGAATTGTAATTTTTAATGAATAAGTCATCCAACGTGTTTTTATCCCCACCCTGGAGGACCAGTACAGTGTACTGATCAGAGTGCCAAGAGGTGGGCAATCTGGCATGAGAAACCGCCAGTGTTGCACTGAGATCTCCACTGTTCAGTTGGCTACTTAGGCGCAGCAGCCATCAAGAACCATCGAACACCGGACTGGTCGTTTCTTACCTGACACCTTCGTCCTGGTGATCACTATGGGTGACATCGCAGTCGGGGATTTTTGAAATCATGGCATAACAGACGCCTGTCATTGAAAA